TGAAATCGGTTGGACAAAATTATTGCCTTGTTTCAACAAAATAATTAACTTTGCCAACGCGTGATTTAGGATTGTTTTTTAACGATCTTATAGTGTGTATACGCGTGACTTATGATTCAGTTGCACACGTAGTAAGATAAGGTAAATCGACAGTGAGAACGAAAATTAAGAAATTTCTATCTGCCAAGCCTTGCTTATTCAAGCATAATTTCGTATAAAACAACTTGTACAAAGTGAAAAATCCTGAGGATGTTTTTCATGCCAGTTCACGTCTTCTTGTACTGATTTTCAGGTTTAATTTAGTTCACATTTTGCATGCACCAAATCCCTGAAATCCTCACAATGAATGTAGTGTTTTTTTTGACATCACTTCCACAACTAATACCACGCCATAATTACCACTTCTATAACTACCATAGTCACTTCTGCTGGTGGGAGTTTTGATTAGTAGTATCCACTATAAAGGGAAAACACAAGAAGTGATAACCGTCGACTGGTGAAGATTCGATAGGGATGAAGAAAGAATATTGAGTATAAAAATGGAGGACAAGAACACTGCCAACTCAGATGCCAGAAGAAGAGAATAGTCTCTGCTGCAACTTTTATTTTAAGATTACAGATTTGACTTTCAATAGACAAGCTTTGCTACTCCGTTGCAGTTCGCTTCAGTTGGTGTCACCTCCTTTGAAGCAGATTAAGATGCCATAGTCCGCAGTGTTGTGGTTGTAAATATCAAGTTCTTCCTACGAGACTTGGTAGTAGTGGATGAGCTCCCCAATGTAATGGAAGCTGAATGCGATGGTTTTTAGATATGTTACTCCGAAGTCAGGTGATGGTGTCCTGTGGAAGAGTCAGGAACATGGATGAGAAGGCTTTTTGAGAGACCGCGATGGAGTTGCTTCATTTGGGCGTTTGGAGACCAATGGATAGACAGTAAACAATATTGTTGTTTCTTGAGTAAGAGGTTTTGACTGAATGAGCATCCATTAATGTTTGCACTGATGCGATCCAGTATGCCACGTTTAACATTCTCTACATTGATTGGATGAGGAGCTTTAGGTGCAACTGTTAGTGTTGCAGTTCAAACGAAGTGTCTCAAACATGGCTGCCCAGTAGCTACTCCTCACGGACTTAGTAGGGTCTATGGACATTAGTGAATATGAAAAGGTGAATACAGAAAAATCAGTATGATACTGACTGTAGTGAATAAATATCAGCAGCAAGCAAAAGACCTGCAACAGCAGATCGCTACCATCCAACCGTGTGTCAGTTGATGGGATGATTTTTTTGCTCGGGGAATAACCTGATGTTGGCAAAGGAGGTGTTCAAAGAACAGAGAACGATAATTATTCTTTCAGCTTCCCATTTATGGCTGTCATCCACCCAAACGAAAAATCTCTAGGCACTGAGGTTTCGAGAGGAATGTGTGCTGTTATCAATACAAATGTTGGCAGGGATTGTAACGTAGAGATTATCTGACATACATCCAAATAGTGGGTTAGCAGAGGTCAAGGTACTGAAAGCACCGCATACAAAGGCACTCAATCTCTTGGAGCTGAATTGGAAGAAGGAATATGTTTTTACTGAAAATGGATGCTCTCATGGATACTTTGACGAGGTGAACCAAGAAAATTTGATCATTCTGTGAATATCAAATCCCGCAAAGCATCTAGTCTCATATCATTTAGAAGTGGTTGGAGACTCTAGGTGACATGGGTTGGAATAGATCTCACAGTATACTCATCCTAATCATTATTCTGAAACAGGTATTTTCTCACTCTTATCTTTTGGCGACTCTCTATAACTTTTGATTGCTTTCATCTCGGCGTCCTTGCTTGTTGTGCTGATGTGAGTTGTGGCAACTTAGACCATTAGGCAGTAATGCGACGTCCCATTCAGTTTGAACTTTACTGAGGGAATAAATGTTTCTCTGACACGCGTTCAGAGGTGTAGACTACTGATTAAGTTGCAGTATATCACACGTAAGTGCAGAATGCATGCTGCACGTCAAGTATCTATGTTTTCCTTCACATCGCCCTCCATACTGAAGAATACAACTCACTTCGGATCAGTACTGTCAAGACAGAACCACCAAGTTTGTTAGTCATTAGGGTCTCGTACAGATTACTCAATAGTTGAGTAAATCAGACAACTGAAGGTGTCGTACTTGAAAGTCACCAGTGTCAGATATCTTTTCTTATTGCAGTTAAATATTCAATACTGATGGTCATTTTAGAATTTGTAAGTAAGTGAATCAAGTCGTCGATCACCAGAATCGGCAGAGTATGGTGGAGAACATAAAACTAATGTTAAGTTAACCGTTAAAATCCACGGTTTGATGTGAATGAAACGATGACATAAAAACAACTGTTGGACAGATTGGGATGTGTGCTTTTTACCTGTCATCCTATCAGCCACCATAGTGACCAGTATTGGTTACAGTTAAAGCTATTCTGGATGAGTGAACAGGTAGGTACCCTTCAGTGTTGCACTGTTGATTGAGGAAAAGCTAAACTACCGTCAGCATCTGTTGGTGAATAACAACTTCCCAGGATAAAGTTTGAGAAATCTAACGGTTCGGTGATTACCGACGCTATATGTGGCTCATAACGGAGACCAATGAAGCTAGTGTGCTATTATCCTTGCCGCTTGTTTTAGAAAAGAATTAAAAAGGCGATGAAAGCTATTGAAATACGCCTTGTGTAAGCGATTTTTTGTTTTCTACTCGCTCGTTTATTTCTTATTTCCCTCTCTCTTTATTAGGTCAGTGTAACCACACTATTTTGTGTGATTCATTCCAATATAAGACCGAGTTTATCTATTACACCGGAGATATCTAAGAGAATAAAGCCAAGTGAATAATCCTAATATTGGTTTCCTCTCCATCTCCCTCATAGAGGAGATATCCTGAACTCTGTAGACCATGAGATCATGCTGTAGCCACTGTGATTGCATTTCGTTATTCCTTTTTCTACAACTCACGCGGGCTTTCTATCTTCCTATTCAGAATGTTGTCTACATTCGCCAACTGAATATCCATCACCAGCAAGCATACGAATGCTATTTATGTATGTGTAATATTATACATTCCTTGGTGTGAACGAAATTTCCATAGAATGAGAATTACTCCTACAAGCGATAACTATTGAGATACTCTGGAGCAGTGATATATTGAAGTCGCATAGAACACAACTCCGTTATTTAGGTGAGTCATCATTTCTAGCTGGAAAAAAACATTCTCCAGTGTTGAAGATTCATATGATTATTTTTGAAAATAGGAGATAATTGACACCACCAATCTATAGTTTCCATTTATATTTATTGGAGCACTTATCATTTTGACCACTTATCAAAGTATTTCAGAGAGAATTTGTTGTATCTGTGTAAGCCAACGGTTATATATATTCAAAATAAATAAAATACGCACGCTTAGCTGACAGCCGACTTAGTACGCAAGAGCCACTGACTGCAACCCCGGGGTGAATAGAGAGAAGACCGAAGCTGGCAGATGGGAGAGTTTATTACTCTGACAGTATAATAATCAACCAATCCAAAACACGTGAATATGTATACACATAGAATATGACCTTATCCGCAATTGGTGACCTTTGCATAGTATGAGTTAATCAATCAGTGAATTGCATTGCAATGGGGGCAGAAATTAAACTACTAGTCATACTGTAAAATGGTGTGAGAATGCCAAGTTAAAAATTTTCAGATTGATAACAATGTATTATACAAAACTGGTGCCTTACAACAGAATTATCCTGATTTTTTTTAAACTTTTTAGCTTGTTCTTGATTATTCTTTGGAAAATAACTGAGCATTCAATTCTTTTCAATGAATGTAGGAGGAAGTTCATTGCAGATCTCCTTCGACACATTCAAAATCATTCGGTTATTATTAATTCATAAAGACTATATTTCTAGCTTATTTAAGATTGTGGTTAACAGTCATGTTGTTGATGTGGATCATTCTAGTCGTAACTCTACAACAAATGATCTTATCGGAATTCCAACCCCGCACTTATGGGTTCGAATAACAGTGCCATACACTGGTTTCATCTACGTAATCACACTTTGTACAACTGGGAAATTTGAACATCATAGTTTCATTGCTCTTAGAAGAAGAGTATACCGGCGACTGTAAACATACTTGCTCATTGTATGCTAACTTTCATACGGTTAATTGGACGACGAATAAAACTACATCCAGCTGAGGATTGCTGGATTGGAGCACAGTTGCATCATGTATTCCAATAAGACCAGTGACGAAAAATGAACGTTACCTGATAAAACGTTTACACAGAGGTCTCCACACATGGTGTTTGGCTGGAAACACTGGTGACAGATTACAGGTTATACCACCAAACTACAGTCACTGTGTAGCTGGAGAATAATGTAACTCGATGTCATGGTATATAACGCTCCAGAATTTGAAAGAAAAATGCTGTCTTTGAGTTTCAGAGAAGACAGTTTGATAGATTTTACACCATCCAACTGGTCATCTTTAGAAAGGTGGGAGAAGCAACAAAATATCAACCAATAGATTTCTGCACAGGGCAGATTCATAGGAAAATATACCGCAGTACTGAGTTTTCATTAATTTTAGCCAAACAGAGAGAATAAAATCAGCGTAAAATCACGCAAAAAATGTACCAGTTAAGGTTGCGAAACTTCACAATAGCCAGTAAAAAACACGTGGTCAGACGAATGCTACTATGGGAGAAGAAATTTATAACACCAATCACAATCATTTAAAAAACTGAAATACTCATCAAACGACACGTATCTTCAACTTTGATAAACTTATATTCAATCACAAACGATGGTCCGCACACCTAAATACCCCCAATCACACAAAAGCTGAACACTCATCCGCTAGACTAATCTCCCCTCTCTTTCCACTCTTTCTTACTATGCCACTAATTACAATAGTTATTCCACTCCGGTTTTCCCTGATACCTTTCTGCTTAAATTTTAATGCATTACAAATAGTTTAAACTCCAGTCGTTCAATGTTCCCCATATCTAAAGAGAGATGAACAAGTACTCAAAAAAAATACTATTTAACTTGAATAAGGACAGAACAAGAAGAAGAACAATGATCAGCTGTCAACCACAAAGAAAACAGTCAACTCAGGTTACAAGGAAAACAAAGGATACTCTAGTAAGTAAACATGAAAGACAAAATCATGATCACATGAAAACAAGCATCTTCACAAACCAATCAATTTAAAAATAATCACCTGATTTAAAAATACATATTATATCACCTATTGTAACAGAAAAAGTAAGTCACGAAACCTAGCAGGTTTTTAAGAAAATATAAAAATACAATCGCAATGTTTCACTGATAGCCTCAGACAAAACACTTCAGTTGTCTATGGGCGCAGTAATATGTCCAATAAATATTGGTACAATGTTATTCCACACAACTGAAACGAAGAATGGATGATCCACACGAAATTCAGGCACAGGTTTCAGACTAACGCATGCACTGAACGCAATGACTGTACTTGCTGTGGCTGCAGCAGCCACTGCGCCTTCCTCATCCACCTATAATCATGCGAAAATTAAACGCAGTCTGAAATAAGTAGCCTTTAAATAGTTGTACAATAATTTTGGTGACAAACAATAATATTTGCTGCACTTTCCACGCATACGAAAACAAAACGCAATTCAAAGAAAATAGAACGTAAATTTCTGTAAAATAGTTCTTATCACATACATGTTTATACATTGACGATCTCCCCAAAACTACATCATCTAGCATACACTCATGCTCATATTGAGTATCATTGGGCTGGTGTTGGTGCAGTTTTCCATTTCAACTATCGACTTGCTGTTTTTCATCAACACAGTGTGTTATTTTCATATCACTGGAACTGTTTAGTCCAGTAGATCTAGTTGTGCATAAAATTAGTCACAATTACTCATCTGAAATATGAAGTATTCACACCTTCGAAGAAAACTACTATTACATCTCCATACACCCCGAAAAGATAACCACCACGTCAGGTCAGTTTCAAATATAATAAGCAGCCTTAATTCCTTCAATCACGGAAAATATTCAAGATGTAACAATAAAACTGTATTGCGTAAAAGGGAGAACAGCTACAAAATTCCAGTTGTATGTGGTAAACCAAGGTACAAACAACTTAAAACACTCAGTTTCTTTCAGAGATTCTTAAAAAACAATACGATCTAATTTTTCTTAACCATGCAATTTATTCGCACAGCACATTTTGAACAATTTGTTTGCACACACAGTTGCCATGCATATTTATATGGCAGATAGAAAACAGGGGATCAGCGTCGAAAATTCCAGATTAAAATAGGGTTTAGTTGTCAGTTTACAAGTCAAATCGTAGATGGAGAAAGATAATGTGTGAATAACCATCAGTACTAAAATTAAATTGTAAAGGGGGGGGGGGAGCAATTCAACAACGAATTACACAATTAGATCAGGACTTCTTTATAGCTAAAGCACCAGTAAACTTGAGTATGCCTCCGATAGGGTTGGGAGATGAGTTCAAACCAATCTCATCATTTACCTCAATGGTATATTGTGTCATAGATGAAGATGAACATATACATTATCAGTGATCCTCACCCGTAGTACCTACGACCTGTAAATCCTGATTCCTGTCTGTCACACATTTCTGTAATTACACAGATGAAGGCAGACCACACTACCATACAATTCTCACATCAATAGTTAGTCACTTCAATCATTCCAATCCTGCATCATCATCACAACCAGTATCCTTATGCTCTAAAGTTGTCTATAGATCAGTAAGTGAATCACACTCCCACCCAGTCTCAATATGTTACACACAAAACATTCAACTCATAAACCAACTAGAATACGTACTCATTTATATGTTTGATGAGTTGCATTCCAATTTACAGTATATGAAACCTCATCGTACAACAAATCTTGAATTCCGCCAACGTTGTTCATTCAATCATTATTCTTTCACTGACTAAAAGTTTATTTGTCTCTCATCTGTATTCTTTATCTTTTCCATAGCACTAATTGAATGAGTCTTCTTCATATAAACCTCGGGGAAGGTATTTGTTAATGCATTTTATCAAATCAAGTCCGACGTCATCAAACCACTCGTCAGTCATATTCATAATATTATTAAAATAACAAGATGTAGGTTGTTACACTAGAAACTGATCGTGGTGAATTTTAAAATCTTAACATCTGTAATGTGTTGTTTCAACCCGTTAAAGTTGACTGTCTATACCAACTACTCTGATGCTACTCCCTACTATTTAGCTTAAAGTTACTCACCCGAATCTACAGAAAACTCTATGTAACCCGCCTGTTCACTTCATGTCTGTTGACACTCATCAGCAGGATCCATGTATAACCGTAGAAAACTGATACGCAGTTACAAACGATACTCCGCACCATTGGTCACCATAACCACACACAAAAGCCCAACACATTAAATCCACTAAAACTGTCCACCTTTTTGCAATACAATTAACTGCAACATTTATTTCACACCAATCACCGCCGATACCTTACTGCTTATTCTTCAATACTCTCCAAATAGTTTACACTCCAGTCGTTCACAATTCAATGAATCTGCAACATCAATATTTGGTCACTACACAAGGTGAGCAATATCATAAGGACTAACCAATTCTGAATTCTGTCAACCGGGTTCGAAATACGTCTACTAGAGCAAATGCTATGCAGTTATCATTACTATGAACAACTAAATCATAATTTAAACACAGGCGATAGATAATTGTAAACCTTTGTGCACATTACGTTTTTTACATGTCATCTGAGTAAATATAAACGCATTTAGACAGAGACACAGACAGATGGGTTAACGTAGAACCTGGGACAGAGAAGTACTTATTCAAGTTGTCATACTACACAGGAGCATGCAAAGAAAAAGTGGATGAAAAATAGTGATATGAAAAATGTATGGGAGAAGAGAGAATAATCAGACGAAGGTTTATAAATATATTCAAAAACTTGTAGTTAATACAGTGCGTATATCGGCATCACTATAACTGAGTTTGACTTATACTACCTAGTCTCTAACCCTGGTTCCTATTCCATCAAGGACCCCAACCAGGCAACCTACATATCCCAACACGGCTTATGTCAACAAGTAAAGACTTCATGGACTGGTGTTACATCTTTTTTTGTCCAATTCAAGCCTTCTTCCAACCAAATCCTACTTCAATAGGTATTCCATATCGAGTTAGGCGATACTTCGGTATGCACAAGACATGTCCAAGCGACCTTAGTTGGTGGAAGTTCACAACCTCGTTGACTGGCTTTTCTTCCTTGCTTAGCACCCTTCACTGAATCTTGACATTGCTTACATGTTGATTACACCACACGTCAACAATGCCATGAAGACACCTGGGGTCAAAACCCTGTAATCTCTTCATAGTTTCTACTCTCAATGGCCACGTCTCACAGTTGGATAATAAAACAGAGTGGGACTGCATTAAAATTTAATAGGTGATCTCTCCAGTGCCAGACATAACGCAAATTGACAAACACCGAACGCGAACTGTGCCTAAGTTCAGACTTTGTCGACAACCAACCCATTTGGGATGATAGAACTTCCAAAGCAAGTGGGGGTGCTTCTAACGCATTCTACCAATTCACTCCCTATCCACAAACTGGAAGCAGCTGAAGCACCACCTTACCAATGATAGCTGCGAAATGCATGCCAGACATACTCAATGCGTTCAGAAGACCCAGCATTTTGTTAGTATTTGCGCCAAACAGCATAATCTCGTCTGCGTACTCCAAGTCAACTAGGTGCGCACCTTGGAGTAAGTCAATCCGTGTAAAGTCAGAGCTATCTACGGTTATATGCGTTAGAATATATATAACAGGAAGGGTGGTAGCAGACACCACTGGCTGTCACTTCAGATGAAAACGACGCTAATTAGTTCAATCGATCTAGTAAATTCAATAGACATAACAATCATTTTAAATGAATATCTTGACAAAGATGACACCTTGAACAGCTGTTTGAAAATACAATCAACCATCACGAATGACATACGCTAAAACCATGTGACTAAAAATCGAAGTGCAGGTTTGTTCATTACGTAGTGGGCCACGCCTGCTGAGTGTAGCCTGATGACACTGCCTGCTTTTCTAAACCTGTACACATACAGAGCAACGTCCGAATCCATCACCCTTAGAAAATGAAATAGAAAAACACTGAAAGGAGAAGGATATGACAGTGAATGCAACAAATATACGAAGAATAATAAGGTGTTTGAAATTGCAAAGACGGTATACTCTGCACATGACTGTGCCACTATTAACCGACTTTGCAATCATGCCACTCAAGATCTTCGTATCACTTAGTCACAATTCATGAATACTACTACCTAAATAAAAGGTACTAGAAGAAATTTGACAAATGCTAACAACAATGGTTTAACTCACCTCAAGAATAGCCTTATGTAGTACATCTGAGATACACAACCTACATGAGGTAGAAATACCAGAAAAATCAGCTAGCGATGGAGAGAACGCATCATTTATTCCCATTTTCTGCAGAATCTTTTTGAGACTCACAGCACTACCTTCTCTTAGTTTGAATCTAGGTAAATACAATTGCAGCTCAATGCTATCAAAACCATTTGACAAAAGGACGGACGACAAAACATTGCCTTCATTCAGCGAATTTATCAAATTCGGTAGTCCATCTTTTGCATCCGGAAGGATAACTAGTAGTGTAAACCTAGATTGGGAATTATTGGAAAGAAAACGAACAAGAGTAAGTCAGAAGGAGTGAGTTCAAGTAAAACGCTATGCAGATCCTATTGATGCTTGACCGATCAGTGGTGCTTTTAAAATACTATTGGTGTTGCTTATACTTACCAAGTGTGGAACCCTGGCGTTAGGCACACAAGGTAAGAGAAAATGAGACAAATAATTTGATGAGGTTATGAGCCATTATCAACCGTCGTGAATCTGATACTTGTGCAAATAGGTAGACACTGTAATAAACAACAATTATCACTTGACATGCATACTATCGACTAAAATACTAATGCAACTCAACAACAACTTATACGTTCGTGTATTAATGTATGATGCAGCCGAAGGTTGGTAGAATTTGTTCTTTCTCTTGAAATCCTTTGTTGTAGCAACACGTCTACAGTCTCTGTCACTGAGGTCTCACTTCCTACACTCACGTGTAGCGGGTGTTCCCACAAAGATAGAAGTATGAAAGAGAATGTTCAAGGTTTGTCACGACGACTGACGGATACCGACAAGTTAAAATTACTCTGATTAGAAAACTAGTTGCGCACAAGTAGAAACAGGTCACATTACAATAATCTACCCACGACAAAGGTGCATGCGTAACTGTATCTCTTCTCGGAGTACTTTCTCTGAACTCTGATCTTGGTTGAGCCTTCATAATAATGATCAGTTATAATCATTGAGCCCGTCATACTAAACAAGTAGGTGTCAGTAAATTGGTCCCATCTCATATTGCAACTAAATATCAAACAGAACTAGATTCAACGTTATCGGCCGAAGTTCCAGACAGTGTAGTAGAGTATCAGCTGTAACTTCGAAATCCTAGGGAAATGATGAACAAAACCACCTGCAATAGCAAAGAACGTCCGACTAATAAACACTTGACGCAAATCACTTCATTTCGGCGGATAGCAAGTACATTTTTTGAGTAAGCTCCTCGTACAAAGTCTATACGTAGAGACGCTGAGGCTTAGGGGTTACGAACAAAAGAGATGCGAGGAGTTTTAACCTGGAGTACCCAGCTTTTCCAACCCATCTCAGCCATTAGCAGTCAAAGCCTGGTGTCAGTGAAATAGGTCGAGATCGATAGGACATTAATCAACAACCTCCAAAGACAACTGGAACACAGGTGGAAGCACTTAAAGGTCAACTAAGATGGTAACTGCTCATGTAGTATATACAAACTAACAATCCTTGGGCTTCTTGATATAAAGGTTGTTGCTTATTCTTAGGACAGAATTGCGTTCGAAATATACCTGATACAGAAGTGCATCCTTGAAGGGTTTATTAACCACCTGAAAGTCATTTCCATAAACGCTCCAGACAGTTTGGATATGCAGTCACCTCTCACAATCGTTTCAACCCAGAGACAGGTTTCGGCAAAGTTGGTTGATTTTCCAATTCCTTTTTAACTTCACCATGGACGCCATCCTTCAAACCCATCTGAAAGAGACAATTAGTGATGGAAAGACTTTTCGATCCCCCATTAGCAGACGATATGATGCATCAACATACAGGCTACTCAGGTCGTACTTAATCAATGGGAAGAATTAAATTGTGAAATACATTTTTAAGATCGGTAGAAGTCTTTCTGAATCCAACCACTTTGTTGAGATAGACGAAAAAGCTGGATGGACAACGCTCTGTTATGAGCAGTTCTACTGTATGCCTGAAAATCACTATGTCATTCGGGGCTCCGAGTCTAAGCCAATGATGATTAGGTTGCAGCCTTCTTGTTCCGATGACAGTAGTGGAAGTTTCTTTAAACATACATAATGAAACTGGTCCTATGATTTTGATGACGCCTTACCTCTCCTACCATCTTTTTTTCTGGTTTTAAAGTGTCATTGCATTTTTGTGTGTGAACACTTCTTCTTGTCCATACTGCATTATGTTCTTATCAATCAATAGTAAAATTAGCTTTTCTTGTTGGTTAAGATTGATTGATAATGTCCAGTTACTCAAACTTTGAAAGGTAATAAATGATTTCAACCCGTAATACAACAGCTGCAGCTTGGTTCTATAGACAAACGAGCCAAAACATCAAGAAAATCACTTTTGGTCAAACTTCAGACAAAGTTATTTCGGTTGACTAAACTTCGTCTGTCAGAAGGTCTGGGAACATGATATCACTCCCTATGATGGTTAGAAGCAAACTATTTAGACGACTAAGTAGTATTTTATTGCCTTAAAATCACACTGCATAGATTAAAAATGTGCACGGTTAGATGAGAGAAAAATCATCACTGCTCACATGGGATCTTCAAATGGTATTTTGACAGCACGAGATTTTAAGTGCGGCAACTCAACCATATCGAAAAAGGATTCATTATACATTAACTGCACTTTCATTTTTGATCCATCCAGTTTATAAAATTTACTATCATGTGTGTTGATCTTGGGAAAAGCTAGTTTCCATGCTCCTAAAGAAAAAGATCTGGTTATAAAAGTCACACAAAACATGAAGGAGGGGAAGGAGGAAGAAACCAAGCACTTAGCGGTAAGAGTTGCTCAACAAGAAGTTAAAACACCCACCCACTAGCTTCATAAACTTACCTTTGAAGTAGGTAGTTGACGTGACTACAACGGATGTGTCACTGGTTACAGAACCAGAGGAAAGAAGTTCTTGGATCTTTCCTTTGGTTTGTTCACTCACCCACTGGTTTATTCGCGTTCGAGCATTCTCTGTATCTGTTTCAAATGGTACCTTAAGAGGAAATCAATTCCACGCAATAAACTAACAAGTTCGGATTGAGCCTTGTAGTTTTTCTCTAGGTTTTGTTCGAACTCTTTTTTAACATCCATACTAGGTGTCATGAAAAGTCTATTCCCAAAAATTATCTCAACACCTTGACCAGATTTTGAACAGTAAACCAACAGTTTACTAATCCCATCATGAACTTCACTGTGTTCAAAATCTTTAGATAATTGCATCACCTGCATCATTTCAGCCTTTGTGTTGTTTTCACCTCCTGAAAGAACCATTCCAAGGGCAGTGTAAATGTTAAAGGGAGAAAGAAATGTGTTCTCCAACTTATCTAACAGTAGTAATGAGATTATTTGAAAAACTGACTTACTTAAACTTTCTGCCATTACATGACCGTAAATGCTCTCTGTAAATGTTGTCAGCGCAGGTATTATATCCATTTTGTGCTGAAATACAACTCGTTAGACAGAAAACTGAATTACGTTAGACATAATGCATGATTACGCAAACCAGTGCATAGAGAGAGAAAGAGAACCGAGAAAATGAAGTTACGAGTCAACGCTTATTACTATACCCTTTCAAGAAAACATTCCATGCCTCAGATGACTGAATGACCACGACCTTCATTTACTGAATATCACTTAGCGCGGCAAAACTTTATGGGCCATACTACTTGAGTGAAGGGTTATGATGCTATCGGATTACCCCAACTGAAGTAGGTAGTGCAGGATTTTAACCCAACACCTATTGCTTGAAAATCGAGTGCTTACGTCAATGAGCTATGGCGCCAGCGAACGAGCCGCATCACTACATAAATTAATCCCGTAGTGAACTCTGTGATGCTTAGAGTACTAACAATGGGTTCTTAGAACTACTGGAACTTTCTCGTAAGTACATAGGTAGTTTCTAACTGCTTCTGAACGTGACAGATGAGACTTCCAATCACATACCAAAAAAGAAAGTGACAAACAATAACCTAGCCCACCTTTGGCATCGTCGTGGTATTAAAACTTCTGTAAAAGGTTGGGGATACCGCTCTACGCCTGTGAAATCTGGAGTATCTGAGCTGAGGATGTTAGATGCCTCTGCTTTTTCGACCATCGTTGTTTCCACCAAAATAAAGGTATCAGGTGGAAACACCATCTAAGTAAGTGAGATAGGCAGTAAGTGTTTCGGTGAGTTGGAGATCACCATTAATTTACTGTAATCATATTGAAACAATGTTCGGGGCCCGGATGTGTTAATCTTAACTTCACAATGGACTCTAGACTAGTCACTACCCGCTTATCCAGGAAAATGTAGAAAGGTGACCACTGTACGACATGATACAGTAGGATTAAGGGCAGTTTTGCTGGACCAGAACCTTTAGGTGCCTCACGACTTTCTTAATATAGTTCTAGATATCATGCAAATCAGTGACTTGGGACAACAGCAGACATGGCTCACAATCGAAACCGGTGGCGATCATACGTTTTTTGTTACCTCTACCACTTAGGAGTGAAAAAAAGTAGTGAATGCTTTCCTGAATGTATCTCTGAGAGTGCCTCTTTAATAATCCACTCGTTTTTGTTTCCATCATCTCTTCAGTTTTCTGCCTTCATAATGCTGCCTTACCATTATGCCTATTGCATCTCATGGTGACGATGCTGCACCAAGATCTTGTTCTATTTAATAAGTAATATCCTGGAATTACTTGACCAGGTTAGGAAGTTGAATAATCCTGCAATAATCAGTATTGAGCAAGTGTTAATTGTACATAAGACACTAGTTTTTTTCCCACCTGTTAATCTTATGAAAAAGGGTTTTGAAGAACTATAAAACGCGATAATGAGTAGTAGTTTACCTACTCTCAGTAAACTTCGCAAGCTAAAACAACCAAGACCCTAAGACTACTTAACGCCACCAATATTATGTTCTGAAACCACCAATCAATCAAAATCAGTTAAGAACACAAAATGTAAGTCCAAAATGCAACAATCAATATCAGCATTGTCACCCGCACACTATTCTTGACATAAGACTGATACAACCAAATACGAACACGAAAATCGAAACATCAGTGCCCACAAAAAGAAACTGGGTCTGGGCTTTTCTCAAACGCTTTCAACATCACCTTCAACCATAAGAGAATGGTAGCAATTGCGAACATCATCATACATTTCCAACGCAGATAGCTAGGGGCTCTCACACGAAGACTTCTCTAAACTTTACATATCGAAAGTATGGTCGCATATGAAAGTACTTAAGACGACAGAACCCCTGTCACTTAAGACTTCAATTTTCTTAAGAAAGTATAAAGATATTCAGTTAGAGGGAAAACCACACCCTGATAGACTGAGGTACCAAAATCCACTTACTTTGAATAATCGCGGAGAGATGGGTGACCTTATTACGGAGCACTAGCTCATCCATCAAAGGAGTCACCTGAACAAACCAACTTTAGTTGCAACATGGTGCTGACCACAAGGGGATCCGACCATAATGCCAAAGGGAGCAGCTAACAGCATGTGCAGGGCAAACATTCTTTATATAACAATATGTGCGACATAAAACGCTTTACCGTTGGATTAGTTACCTTTCACTTTGTAGAATCACTAAAAAGTGAGAACTATATGAGCTCGAATGGCTAACCGGTGACATACTTAGAACATTAGTGACCTCACTAGTCTTTTACTAGCACGCTACAGTCTCCCCTTTACTTACTACTTACTATCTGTTCGCCTTAATGCTCCTGCTTACATTCTAACTCCTGTCTAGTGAATTGACCTATTCAACCTGGTTTTTCTCTTCGTGAAGATCGCATATGCCTTTCTACCCTCGCTGTGCTATTCCCATTTAGGCACCCGTGCAGATAAGAGACAAGAAAACCCAGTATCCAGTTAAACAAGAATACGAAAATAATGCAGTACAATGCTTAACTCAAGTATGTGCCAATACGACAATTAAACAGATTATCTCGCGTTTCCTGCATACTTCAAGAACTTGCAGCATTATTTATGGATCCGTGCAAATATAGCTTTTCCATCGCATTATTTAGGCACAATTTTCAGATTATTTTTCCAAGACGTACTTCATTTACGCACAATCTCCGCACTAAACAACTTATCTCGCACTACCGGACTAACTTCTGAATCTAATGAAAACTAAAATGAAGCACCTAAGACAATAGCTACTGTAATTAAAGTTCTTAAGAACTCAATCTGCAAGTTGTATATACAGCTCTTGAGAAAACACGGACCCCAACACGAGTAAAAGCAGCAAAAAATGAAGAGACTTCCCTTCTCATTATTAGAGCAAACATGAACGACAAGACCCAACCACGAAGACCTGGGTGCCTGAGTTCAAATACTAGTTTCCTATACACACACTTCGTGCTGGATATACTTTTTATACCACAATAAACTGGAACAATAGCTGTGATGAGGCTACATCATCCTGTAAATATTCGGCTTCAGAACACATCTAAACTCAACCCAGCCAGTATTTACTTTGGGCGCACTGTGTAACTTTCGGGAAAAAACCCAAAAATTTTACTTCGGGCTGATATGGGGAGAAGATATCCAACGATATTTCCAAACCTTTTACCCGAAAAAGTCAAAAGTTCCAAAGTGCGCCCGAACTTTTCAAACAGCATTCCATCTTCGAAACCCATATAAAAAGAGTGTAAAAGTCTTTCAAATATACAACACCTAAGTACAAAAGAAACGGGATATTCCATCGCTTTCCGCCTGTTTCTTTTGTACTTAAGTGTCATATATTTGAAAGGTTATTTACTTCCTTTCTTATATGACCACTTCATGGACTTATTTTTGAGCCCTTACTAAGTCACCCATACCCATACTGTTTCACTGTGTGATATTTCTAATAAACATACCAAAATGGAATTACACCCATACCATTGTCTAAAATATGGTGCACAACGTTCATGGTCTACTACACTTGTATGACGACGTCTCTGAACGATGTGCCCTAGACTCACTTTTTAGCTTCCCCTTTGAGTAGTACATACAATTTCCGCACTAGCTGGTAACCGATTCAAATAATCCCGCAGCTCAGGTCAGCAAACGAATACCCAAGAGGTGTGTCGTTGAAACGGAGACTTCGGAGCTTACATCTCAGATAAGTATAATAATGGATAGTGATAAGCAAAATGCTGTTTTAAGTAGGTTTACTACCAGTGCAATGTCTCCAGACAACTACGTTCTAGTTGGATCGCAACCGGGGATAGCAAGTTTTTTAGTGAGAAAGAGTTTATGTTTCGAAGGTATTGTAGTTTCAAGTCATTTTTCTTGAAACCAGTAGATTCTGGAGACATTGAGATTCACAAGGTTGATAACCTCGAAGCAACCACAAGCATAGTCGCTTATACAACCATAGGTGCGAAATGTATATATTTGCCTTTGAATAGTTATTCTGTAGTCATTCCCTCACTTCATACTTTTTCAGACAGAACTCAGCGAATACTAGCCATGGAAACATGGACTTAAGTTCCCATATATTAATTGCTGAAGCACTCGTTAAGACGTCATTTTGACTAACTACGAATAACTTTTGCATTTATCAACATGATATATACATATGAGTTCTTTAGTACGATTTTTAATAAATTACAAAAAGCACTCTTCCCTTCTTAATTATCGTTCCAACTTTTTATATAGAGTTGTAACAGTTTCTAAACAAAACGTGGGCGCTATCTTCTCTTCCGCTTGTTTATTGAAGTAGCATGTACGATTTAGTTTTCTTTTTTACATGTCCAGTTGTGCTATTATTAAAATCCCAGCCTTGAATACCATAATCGTCTCAGAGACTAGGATAACACAAGGCTACGTTCGTATACAGTAGGGTTACACGTGGCAGGATGTTTAAAACCATATCCAACCTACGTAAGGTTTTCCATCCTACAGATTTACGCCGCTCGCTAGATATGGCAATATGCTTTGGTGCAAATAGAAGGTCACAGATAACATCGATAGTGCTCGAGAACCATTTGCAGGTGTAGAAATGCTGCATAGCAGTCTAAAAGATTCTTCAACCTCTGATACCGAGCCCACCAGTGAAGTCCGACGTAATCGGTATGTATGAAATATATTTAAATTTACTTTTTCAGATGCACTGTTCGAAGTCAGTGTGTGAACCAGGGGTACCGGACAACTATCGTTCAAGACTTCTGGAAGACGGTGGTTTCGACTTCAGTACACCATGTCCCGGAAGCTTTTCGCTGGTTTCTCCTCTCCAATATACTACAATCTCGTTACATCAGTTTAATTCCGCAGCCAATCTTCATCACATCATGAATCATCTGGTTTGCTGCATTTAAATATTGTCCCCTACCGCTTCATAATTAGACAGTAATACTGCTAATCTCCAAGTGCAGACAGACAGATGTGAAACCCGTCATGAGGATCACGATTTGATGGAGAAGCGGTTTTCCCAAGTTGAGCGTTTTGACTTATACGAAAAATTAATAGCGCGTCCCCTGGAAACAAGTTGCTTGCACAAGAAGGTTACTACAACGGATTCTGCTGAGAGGTTTAAAGCCTCCAGCAAGTGACTTACTGATAGTGATCTGCACGTGCAGAATTTTGAACGTGAGTTTACTGACCCCGAATGTCGCCCAGAGGTAACGCAGGAATTGTCTTGCTTTGTGGGATCGGACATTGGTGTTTCCGTCCGTCGCATAATGCGCACGCTACTAGAACCCGACTTCAGCATGCTATATTAGTCGTCGTCAACGCAAGACAAGCGACTGTTTAAGAAACCACTGATGTCTAAACTTGTCATATATAAGTTCCTGTTTTCAATTCATACCGCAATAAGACATCCTTTGTAACGTCCATAGGCATAGTAGCAACGATAAAGTGACGGCGGAGAAGTGTGACCCACAGCCAGTGACGGTTTCACAACAGTCATGGCAGACTGAAAATGAGGGAGAAAAAGCCAGAGAGAAAAATTAAGTTCAATGTGTTTCATATCACTCCCTTAGATTCATGAATCGGTTGAAAGTGAGGTGACAACATTTGTCTTAAAAGGACGCCGAGAACACCCGACTTTCCAGTTCTCCGGAGAGTGTGATAAAAACGAAATGAAGATGAACAAACTTTAGGGTACATTTGAAACGCATTAGATAGAAAAAATTTGCGAATGGGTTTCCAAAAAGGGATAGCATTTGAAAAGTTCAGGCGCACTTTGAAACTTTTGACACTGTCGGATAAAAGGTTTGGAAATATCGTTGACTATTTCCTCCCCATATTAGGCCGAAGTAAAATTTTCGGGTTTTTACTCGCCCGAAGTAAATACTGGCTGGGAAACACCAAAACTGTGGAAATTATCACAAGTTTGTGCTTCCAAAGGTCATTGTGGCAACTTCGTGTTATTAAATTTGGCTTGACGGCTAACCTAGGTCACCATATTGGCAGTAACATTAAAATATATGCGCGAGATCTGCACATGCAAAAGTGGAAATTTCCACATTAAGGAGATATATTTAACCTCTCCGGTTGTTCACTCCTGCGCACGAAGTGAGGAGGAAATGGGTTAGAACCTATTCTCTTACTTGACAAAAGACACCTATGAACAAAAACACGTACTTCAAAACACAGATCTAAACCTACCCCAAAAAGCAATTCAAACTTCAAACTTCGTGTTGTAGAATTAGTGAACTGCGGTTCCTTGGGTTTTACGTCTATCTTATTGGAATACGTTCTGAGTTTGGGACGGTCACAATTATCTTCCCGGTTCTGAAAAACCTGAAAGGATAGAGAACGATTAATAAATTAATCTGGTCCCAAGTTGAAGGTCATATCCAATATCCAATATTGATAGTGCGAGCGTAGAAAACTGGTAGTTTTTGATCTCTCGCGTCTAGTTCTTAGGGCTTGGTTCGAGTTGTTCGGTTTACTCCTGCAGTGGACGAGGAAATCCCCTCTGCTTTCTTGCTTTTAGCTTCGGTGAGGTGGATGTTTTGTGGGTTAGTAGGTTGTAATTTGTAGAGTGATTAGGGAGCTACGGGTTGCTGGGAAGTTTAGAGAACTGCCGTGACTCCTGTCTGTGTAGGTACCTGAAAGAGAATAGTAAGGTAGTGGTAAAGGAATGAAGAGAAAATAAGGAAGAGAAAAAAGGGAAATAATAATAATAAAATATAGGGAAGAGAAAAGGGAAGGAAAAGAAAAGGAGGGGTGAAAAGAGAAATGAGAACGAAAGAAAAGTATTTGGGAATTGCCCGAATGGTCGCGTGGGTTTGGTTCCTACAGAAGAATTAGTAGGTAATGTGGGTGTATTAAGGAGAGAGATAGTGAGTGGTAGTTAGGAGGGAGTTGGGGGTACTGAGGTTGGTGACTACCTGAGTACGTCCGTGGTAGTCCATGCGAGGTGACATAACTGTCTAATCGCCTCTTGAAAGAGTCGATTGAAGGAGCTATAACGATGTGTCGCGGTAAGGCATTCCATAAAGCACATACTCTAGGGAGAAAAATTTGGACCTGAGTGTGGTGTTGGCTCTCTGGTGTGCTATCTTAATGGGGTTTCCTCGTGAAGATCGTTCAGTTGCAGGCAAAATTGATTTGTTTGCATGGTCTGCCTGATGGGCGATCTTGTATGCCATAATGAGGTCACCCCTTTTCCTGCGATAACCCAAGGTAAATAGGTTGAGGTGTTTAAGTCTTTCAGGATACGTCTTTCCCCTTAGCCCCACAACTGATTTTGTTGCAGTTCTTTGTATTCTTTCAAGGAGATTAGAGTCTCTCTTGAGTGTTGGAGGAGCCACCGTATTGAAGACCTCTAGGTGCGGCCGCACGTAGGATTTGAAAATGGTGAGGAAGAGTTCGGGAGTGAGGGCGCCAAGCTGTCTACGCAGAAAGTGTAGAATGGCGTTCGCTCTGGTTGTCATACCTTTGTAGTTGGAGCTGGTGTCCAAGGTGTCGGAGAAGTTGAGCCCCAAATCTTTCTCCATGGACACTCTGGTGATAGCACGGTTGCTCAACATGTACTGGAAGTCGGTCGTACTTGCCTCATTTTTACTGATGTGCATTACTTTGCACTTTTCAAGTTGAAGCTCAGGCCATTTTCCGACGACCAGAGCTCGAGTTGCTGCAAGTCCTTTTGTAGTGCTGCACAGTCGGCTTCTTCGTTTACCACCCTCCAAATTTTTATGTCGTCAGCGAAGAGGAGGATGGGTGAGGATATTTTGTCTGGCAGATCGTTGACAAACAGGAGGAACAGAAGCGGTCCTAGGATTGCTCCTTGGGATACTCCTGACGTCGACGGTCTCCACTCCGACCTTATTCTGTTCACTTTAGTGCAGAACTGCCTCCCTTCCAGGTACTCCTTGAACCAAGAGAGTAGGGGTCCACTTATACCAGCTGACATGATCTTGTGAAGCAGTACTGTGGGTGGGACACTGTCAAATGCTTTGGCTAGGTCGAGAAATACAACATGTACAGGTTTTCTATTATCCCAGCTTTGTGTCCAGTCGTCCCAGGCGGTTAGTAAGTTGGTGGCACATGAGCGACCACTACGAAAGCCGTGCTGAGCAGTGTGGACAGTGTTTTCCTATTGAGGAATTCCCAGATGGTGTCAGCTACCAGGCTTTCCAACACTTTCGACACAATAGGGAGTAGGGCAATCGGCCTGTAGCTGCCAGGGCTTTTTCTGTCTCCTCCCTTGAAGATGGGTGACAAGATGGCACTCTTCCATTCTTTAGGGAGTTTGCACGAGTCTATTGAGTGCTCAAAGAGGTTGCGAAGTGGTTTGGTAAGCACCTCGGCGCAGTTTTTCAGAACCACTGGTTTTAAGTTATCGCAGCCAGGGGACTTGCCCGGACGTAGCCTAGATAGCTTCTCGAACACCTTTTTCTCTGTAATAGAGACGTGACAGAGGTATTCGTTATTTGCGACCTGGTCGGTGTCGTGGCGAGTCGGTGTGGATCTTGTGTCAGTGCTGAGTTGGGCTTGGAAGTGTGAGCTCAAAAGCTCGGCAATCTCTAGACTGCTTAGCACACTCCCGTCATGGCCTGTGACAAGATTCACTCCCTTACTGGTCGACTTTCTTCTTGACATGAAGCGGTACAGGTTTTTGGGGTTGCTTTGTAACCTCGCTGCCAAGTTTGTTTGGTAGGAAAATCTGTCGTTACGCACTCTAATGTTACAGAGATTGCGAATCCTTTTGTAGTTCAAGAAGTCAGACTCCCTGCGTGATGTGCGCCACTTGAACCAAGCCTGCTTCTTGCTCCGGATAAGCCTCTCTGTCCCACGCTTTAACCATGAGGTTCTCATTGATTGTCTGTGTGTTACTTCTGGTACACTGTGACTGATGGCCCCAGTGATTATTTTCTTCACCTCCAACCAGTGTTCATCTATTGTGAGATGAGTCCAGTCCACTGGTCATGAGGTAGTCCCTCATGGTCTCATAGTTGGCCTTGCTGTAGCAAGGGAAGGTGTTGGGCGTCTCCAGTTGCAGAGCCTCCCTAGTTATCATGGAGAAGGTGATTACAGCGTGGTCACTGAGGCCAAGGGGAGGTTGGATGCAAACATCCTCAATGAGAAGTTCATCGTTCGTCAGAACGTAGTCAAGGCGCGATGCGTTTCCGTTAGGTCCCCAGCGTGTAGCATCACCCACTTTCTCTGAGAGGCCAGCAGTCTTAATTGCATCCTTCAGCTTCTGATTGAAGGATCTGATGCGTCTCCCTTCCGTCTCGAAGAGGATGGACGGGGTGTTGAAGTCGCCGGCAATGACTACGGAATCGTAATTTGCAGAGGAAGTCGTTAAGATAGCCTTGATGATCATTTCCTTATGTGTAGGGGAGCTGGTGGGGGACCGATATATGACTCCGAGCAGGTATTTGGTACTGTGGAGAGTGAAGTAGCACCATAGGGACTCTGGGAGCTGGGTTAAGGCCGTATCGCTAACCATCCTTGCCTTTAAACAGAGTTTACGTAGATAGCCACTCCCCTCCTGCTCTATGTTCCCTGTCCCTGCGGAAGAGTTCCATGCCAGTAACATGCATCTCTTCGTCGGAGATGTCTGGCGAGAGCCAGGATTCGGTGATGAATATGATGTCGGAGTGCTGATGTGCACGCAGCGTCCTCATTTCTGCTACCTTCCCTCTTAGCCCCCTAACGTTGCTGTACATACATATTAGAGTGTGCCTGGTGAGGGGGAGGTCTGGTTGTGTATTTTCGCAGGATGAAGCTTATGTGGTTGGGTCTACCCTCGCCAGTCCTCATAGGACTGGCATTGTTCCGTTTTTTGGTGTTTTGTTATTAACTTGGGTGGGGGCTGTGGCAGTGGTGGCTTCTTTACTTGATGTATCTAACTCACTGGTCAGCGCCTGTGTGACGACCACTGACTCCAGAGGTCTTGGTGGTTGTCGTCTCTCCTCTTGCCTTGTGGGTCTAGGCTTACTTTCACATATACGTATTGAGCCACCCATGCGATCCTTCGCATTATACCATGCCTGTAGAACGTCTGTGAGGGAGGCATATGAGTCGAACTGGACGGCGAGTAGTCTGGGATTGGGTATGGTCTTCAGGTGCGCTGGCCTTGGCAGTCTACTGACGCTGTTGGCCGGTATACTGTTGAGACCAACTTTGGTTGAGAGCCATTGCCATTGTTGGACGTCGTGAAAGTACCGATCTTTGACCGAGCGGTCACTTGGCAATTCTGGAATCCCATGTACAACTATAGTGTTGTTTCTGTTGGGATTTCCAACCGCTGACTTTCTCTCCTCCTCTCTTATTGACCATGGCTTGTCAGGCCTGGCCCGAATTTTACAGGCATTAACAACGTCCGGTTGTCGCGAGAGGAGGAGTGTGTCTTCAGCCTCTTTGGTAGTATTTAGGGACACACGTAAAGGGGGTGGCTTATCTCGGGGTGCACGGCTTCCTCGAGAAAGGCGACATAAAGTTGCAGGGAGGGGAGGGAGTCCCAGCATCTGACAGTAGTCGGTCCACATTCGGCTGTCAAACCGTTCCCTCTCGACCAACAATGAGTCTGTCGATACATCGACGTTGAACAAAATGATCGAGTTGGTCCTCCTGTGACCTGGGTTCGTTGTGGGTGGCACGCCCGACTTCCCAATGGGTTTGAGTAATTCCACTGGTTGTTTCTCAGTCACGGTGTGTGGGGTGTTTGGAATGGGTTTCGTAGAGGCTTTAGCGGTCGATGTCTTTGGCCATACGCTTGACGTCCCCTGGGGCCGGGTAGGAGGTATGGAGACTTGACCTAATATGGTCCCCACGCGAGGTGGCGTGCCGGCAGCTGGAGCTCTAGGTCTGTTTCCAGGTCTCTCTGTGTTATCTTTGGTGTTAACCCTACTTTATTCGAGGGTGCTGGTAGCTTTTGCGTGGCGGAGAGCATCTCCTTCAGGCTTTCTGTGCGGAGTGCGGGCATTTTCCTGCACTCTGGACAGATGTACCAGAACCACTTGCATGGTTGTCTCTTCATCAGCTTATAGTATTGTCGGGGGACTTTGGTGTCGCAGTGGCAATGCGCCCATCGTTGACATAGGTTGCATGCAAATGCCTCATCGACTACCGAAACAACTTTGGTGCAAACACTGCAGCCATCGGGTGTCGTAATACAGCCTTCCTTGCATGAATAGGTGCTACGGATTGTGGCGAACTGCTGTGGCTGCCTTGTGCTGAAGCCTTTTACGTCGTCTTCTATTTCCAGGCATGGTATGATCCTTGCTCAAGATAGGACTAGTTTGTGACGGGCTAGTGCTACTCTGTGTCACCTGTCTGATGGCTACTGGAATTCTAGAAACATGGGTTGGCCACTTCTTTAGAAGTTCGGTGTTCTGCCCTACCTCT